GATAAAATACGCTTTAAAACAAAGCTTTCGAAGAGACAAAGAAGGGCACTATATTATAGTAAAAGGGTCAATCGATCAAGAAGATATGATGCTAATTAATATCTTTGTACCTAACACAGGAGCACCCAAATATGTGAAGGAAAGACTCTTAGATCTAAAAGGGGAGATAGACTGCAACACACTAATTTTTGGAGACCTCAGCACTGCATTATCCTCTCTGGAAAGATCATCTAGACAAATAATAGGTAAAGAGATAAAGGATCTAAATGATACCATAAATCAAATGGACTTAACAGACATCCAAAAACCACAAGATGCACTTTTTTCTCACCCCCACATGGAACCCTCAAAGATCGACCACATCGTAGGGCACAAAGCAAGCCTCTGCAGATTCAAAGGCATAGAAACATTCTTCTCTGAAAATCATGGAATTAAACTTGAGTTTAATTATAAGAGAAGATCTCAAAAATACTCAAATACATGGAAACTAAATAACCCACTCCTGAATGATTCCACAACTACTGAAGAAATAAAGACTGAAATCAAAAGATTCATGGAAGCCAATGACAATGAGGACACGAGTTTCCATAATCTTTGGGACACTGCTAAAGTTCATAGCAATTAGTGCACATAAGAGAAAGATGGAAAGAAGGCAAATGGAGCACCTAACATCATGCCTCAGAGAATTAGAAAAGCAACAGCAAAAAGATCCAAAAAACTCCAGGAGAAATGAAATAATAAAGATATGAACAGAAATAAGTTAAATAGAAAATAAACTACACAAAAAATGAATGAAAGTAAAAGCTGGTTATTTGAAAAGATAAACAAAATTGATACACCACTAGTGAGACTTACTAAGAAGAAGAGAGAAAGGAACCAGGTGAATCAGATCTAACATGAAACAGGCAAAATAACAACAGACAGTAGAAATACAAAACATTATTAGAGGATACGATGAACATCTGTATGACAAGAAACAAGACAATCTGGATGAGATGGGCAAATTCCTGGGCACATATAATCTACTAAGATTGAGCCAGGAGAATATAGACAGTCTGAATAGGCCCATAACAAGCCAGGTGATTGAATCAGTAATAAATAACCTCCAAACAAAGAATAGCCCTAGCCCTGATGGATTCACCTCTGAATTCTATAAAACTTTCAAAGAACTGTTAACCCCCAGTCTGCTCAAGTTGTTTCTAAAGATACAAAAGGGTAAATCTCTCCCTAATTCATTCTATGAAGCCTCTATCACCCTTATCCTTAAAACAGATAAGGACAGGACAAAGAAGGAAAACTATAGACCAATATCCCTGATGAATATAGATGCAAAGATTCTCAACCAGATACTAACAAATCATATCTGACAACTTATAAAAACAATTATATATCATGATCAGGTAGGCTTTATTCAAGGAATGCAAGGTTGGTTCAACATATGCAAAACCATAAATGTAATACACCATATTAACAGGAAGAAAGATAAAAACCATACGGTCATATCAATTGATGCAGAAAAAGCATTTGATAAGATACAACATCCCCTCATGATCAAGACTCTTAGCAAAATTGGCATAGAAGGGCCATTCCTCAATGCAATAAAAGCCATCTATGGAAAACCCGTAGATAAATGGAACAAGACAAGGCTGCCCACTTTCTTCACTTCTTTTTATCATAGTACTGGAAGTATTAGCCAATGCAATTACATAAGAGAGTCAAATAAAAGGCATCCAAATAGGAAAAGAAGTGAAAGTATCTGGAAAGAAAGCATTCAGATAGGAAAAGAAGAGGTGATACTCTTTCTAGTTGCAGATGACATGATTGTATACATAGAAGACCCAATGGTTTCCATTAGAAAATTTCTGGAAGTAATACATTAATACAGTCAAGTTGCAGGATTCAAAATTAATATCCAGAAATCTATAGCATTTCTCTATATGAACAACAGGCAGACTGAGATAGAACTGAAATTATTCCATTTACCATAGCCACAAAAAGTATAAGATATTTAGGGATAAGTCTAACCAAAGAAGTTAAAGACCTCATAAGGAAAACTGTGAGGAAAAAAAAAAAAAAGAAGAAGAAGAAATTGAAAGTGACACAAAAAAGTGGAAGGACATCCCATGTTCCTGGATTGGAAGAATTAATATAATCAAAATGACAATTCTACCCAAATTAATCTACATATTTAATGCAATGCCAATCAAAGTACCAGAAAAATTCTTCACAGATCTAGGAAAGCCAATCGTAAAGTTTGTCTGGAATTATAAAAGACCCCGTATTGCCAAAGCAATTTTGCACAACAAGAGTGGAGTGGGTGGCATCTCACTCCCTGACCCAAAAATATACTACAAAGCTGTGGTAATCAAAA